AGTGCCAGGTGTGGTGGGGCTGGAGGGGAGTGTGGAGCAGACAAGGGAGTCATGGAGACAGTGGTCCCTCTGGAAAGCAGATAAGGGTGGGGAGAGAAAAATGTCTTTGGTGGTGGGGTCGGATTGTAGATGGCAGAAGTGTCAGAGGATGATGCGTTGGATCTGGAGGTTGGTGGGGTGGTACGTGAGGACGAGGGGGATTCTGTTTTGGTTGTTATTGCAGCGAGGGGGTGTGAGGGATGAGTTGCGGGAAATGCGGGAGACACGGTCGAGGGCGTTCTCAACCACTGAGGGGGGGAAGTTGCGGTCCTTGAAAAATGAGGACATCTGAGATGTTCGGGAGTGGAATGCCTCATCCTGGGAGCAGATGCAGCGGAGGCGAAGGAATTGGGAATAGGGGATGGCATTTTTGCAGGAAGGTGGGTGGGAGGAGGTGTATTCTAAGTAGCTGTGGGAGTCAGTGGGCTTGAAATGGATATTGGTTTCCAGGTGGTTGCCAGAGATGGAAACAGAGAGGTCCAGGAAGGAGAGAGAGGTATCAGAGATGGTCCAGATGAACTTAAGGTTGGGGTGGAAGGTGTTGGTGAAGTGGATGAACTGTTCAAACTGTTCTCCAGCATCCGCTGTTCCTACTATCACTAAGGCAAGACAGTGTAATTTTTCAATATCTTTAATTAAAACATTCACTTATTTAACACCATGTGTTCTAACAAAACATTATTTATCAAACAATAAGATTTATTGTTTAATAAATTGTAGTTATCTTATAATACAATATTTTATACTTACATTTTTAAGAAAACAGTACAAATGGCAGGCAAACATTGATTTTACAGTAACAGAAGTATCAGTAGCAATGTTTCATTATACAACCATTATACAAATGGTATGTTTATTCTATCAATACCAGTAGACCTGTATAAATTGTTGGGCCATATGAGATGCCCATTGCCATTCTGCAGGAGCAGAGGTGGATCAAAAGTGAAAGTCAGTGCTATCGACATTTCTGAATCTGAACCCAACTCACTTTTACTCAAACTTGGGGACAAATTTCAACTCACTCTTGGCATTCTGAAGTTGCTTGAGGTTGACAGCTGGTCCTGGTAACTTCACTGCTCCAGGCAGCTCTTTTTTTTCCTCTGATTTAATGCATGTCCCCTGTATCAGATTAAACAATTACTAAACTTCATAAAAATATACAGCAATGCCTTCGCTCACACCTTGTTTTTATCTTGGTCTAAATGTCAACCTGTGAATTGTACTCAGAGCTCTACTTTGGCAGTGATAGCACTCTCATCAATGAGTCAAAAAGTTATGAGTCCAATCAAGTTTTTTCATCTTGGAATTGTGTAAACCTGTACTCTGTGGTTGCACTCTCACCTCTGAGTCACAGCAGGTCTCCCTCTCCAGAGAAACACACTCTGAGCACAAAGCTGAGATTTCAGTCCCAAACGGTGATAGTTCTCAATTTTCAGATGTGCACTTTTCAAATGCGATGAGATCACAAAATCAAAAAAATCATCACAGTGCAGAAGGAGGTTATTCAGTCCATCATGTCTATAGTGGCTCTCTGAGCATTTTAACTTTGTGCCAATCTACTGCATTTTTGAACTTTGTTTCCACTTAGGTAATTGTGCAACAGCCTTCTCACTGCTCCCATTGAACCTGTTTCCACCACATTTCCAAGCAGTGCATTCTATACCCTAAATAGTCACTATGTAAAAACTGTTTTTTCATCTCATTTTTCCTTCTTTTGCAAAACACTTTAAAACTGTGCTGTCTGATTTTAATCCATTTATAAATGGAAACAGGTTTCTCCCTATACGCTCTGCTCAGACCCACTATTATTTTGAAAGCTATTATCAAATCTCTCCTTGGCCTTCTCCTCTCTAGGGAAAGCAATCCCAACTTCTCCAGGTTATCTTCAGAACTGAAGTGTCTCATCCTTGGAATAACTCTTCTAAACCTCTCTACACTGTCTCCAATGCATTCACTTCCTTCCTATAGTGTGGCATCCATAGCGATGCACAACACTCCATCTGAGGTCTAACCAGTGTCCATCATAAGCAGCTGCTCATGTACTCCATTCCCCTGTTAATGAAAGCCAGAATAGTTTATGCTTTATTATCAGGTTTCTCTTCCTGTCCTGTCATATACCCCAGGTCTATCTGCGCCTGCATATCCTTTAGAATAGTACCTTTTATAATTACACAGGAAATAATCTGAGATTATTACTTTACAGGTGCTGCTTGCTCATTTTCTACCTAACTCCCTACGTGACAATTGCAAGATCATTAACCTGCTTCCAATCAAAAACAACCCTTGACCCCCTCTATCTTTGCAAACATCAGCCCCATCTTTGATGTCCCTTACCCCTCCAAAGCCTTTAAAACATTGGTTGCCTTACAAATCCCCTCCCTTCTTTCCAGAAACCTCATATGTGAATCCTGCCAATCAGTTTTACACCCTGCCATGATGTAAAAATGAAGTTTTTCAAAGTCACAAATGATATTGAATGGAGATAACAAGGTGTAGCGCTGGATGAACACAGCAGGCCAAGCAGCATCAGAGGAGCAGGAAGGCTGACGTTTCGAGCCTAGACCCTTCTTCTGTGTTCATCCAGCTCTATACCTCGTTATCTCAGATTCTCCAGCATCTGCAGTTCCTACTATCTCTGATATTGAATGGAGCTGTGCTATTATCGTGTCTTTCTTCAACATCTTCTCACAATTGTTAACCTGAGTGGGACTCTGCTTTCCTGGTTCAAATTTATTTATTCACAGCCAGAGAATTACATGCTTTGGCTTCTCTTCCAATGCCCACACCATTACATCGGTGTCTCCCAAGGAACATTTCTCGGCCCCCTTCTATTTGTCATCTTCAACTTGATCCATCATCTAAAAACACAATGTCCAACATAACCACTGCTGACACCCAGCTCTGCGTCACCATTACCTCTCTCAACCTCTTCACTGTCTCTAAATTATCAGATTGCTTAGTGAACATCCAGTATCAGATACCCATAAATTTCTACTAACTGTCTTTGGTCTGTGCCACAAACTTAATTCCCTTGTCACATTTCCAACCTTCTCTTTGGCAACTGTCTGAAGCTCAGCCAAATTGTTCATAACCTTGGTGTCGTACTTCACCCTAAGATGAGCTTCCAACTACATATCCACAGCGTCATTGACCACCCATTTCCATCTCTGTAACTCTACTCTACTCATTTTCCAGCTAAGCTCACCTACTGTTTAAACCCTTATTTGTTGCCTAATTTAGGTCTGCAGGTTGACCATTCTATTGCTCCACTGACTGACTTCCCATACTCTGTTTTGCTGTATTAGTCATCCTATATGATGTTGCCTCTGGCCTAATTTGCACCAAGTCCTGTTCATTTATCACACATGCTCACAAATCTACATTGTCTAGCAGTTAAGTATCATTTCAATTTTAAAATTCTCCTCTAGTACTTGTTTCCACAGACATCTATGCCCCCAGCACTGTTCCATACTGCTTTGTGCTCTCCTCCAGTCTAAAACCCTTTTAGATATCTGTTCTCCCAGTGAAACCTGGCATCTTGAATATTCCACATTTTAATTGTTCCACCTTTGGTGGCAATAAGCCATCAAGACCTTAAGCTCTGCAATTGCCTCTCTAAAGTTTTCCATCTCTTTCCTCCAAGAAACGCTCCTTAAAACCTATATCTTTTACCATGAGTTTTGGATAATCTATTCTAGTATCTCTTTATGTGACTCAGTGTCAAGTTATGTTTTTTCATGCTCCTGTGAAGTTAATTGGTAATTTGGTTTTATTACATTAAGGATATTATACTGATACAAGTTCTTGTTGTTAGAACAGATGATCTGATTTCTGTCGGTGGAAACTTACAGTGAGCGAATTGCTTGCCATGTTTCTAGTGTTACAGTGGTGATCACACTTTAAAAATACCCCATTGTCTGTAAAATCAATTTGGGCCATTGTGAGCCTAAGGACAATGCTCTTTAAATGCAAATCTTTCTTCTGTGCGGATGCACAAGTACTCTGTCCTGACATGATGCTTCATTCTGTGAAGTGTGACATGGTCTTACACAAAATTTCACAAGACAGTATTTATCAAAGGGATAAAACTTTTCCAACAAGTTAACTCTACACAATCCTGGTGTGGAGACAGGGACATAGTTCCATTGTCTTTTTTTTAACACTGGTTAATAATAGAATGATGTAAAATCTTCCTTTTTCTTCTTCTTGGGTACTGAGTTAGCAGTTGTAACGAATTCCAAAACATACCACATTCAACTCCCAATCTTTCACTACTTTCTAGTTGTTGATATAGTTCCATGATCAGTATTTAGTTGTCTGTATGACTCACTCTGTCTTTGAGTTAGAAGGCTGTGAGTTTGAGACGTTGAGTGCACAATGTAGGCTGACATTTCACAGCAATACTGGGGGAGTGCTGCACTGTCAGATATGCTGTCATTTGGGTGAGACGTTAAAATGAGACCCTGTCTCTGTTCTCAGTTGGGTGTTAACGTCCTCCATTGGAGGAAGCCCAGGACAGATCTGCCCGGTAATAATGATTTATATTTGAAGTGCTATCACACTCAACTTTCCCATCCCCAAAGTCACTGTGACTCTTTTTTTTGTTTTTCACTTCCCTTTTTAAACACTAACCATCACCAGTGCAGCCAAGTTTATTTAGAAGCAAAGCCCATTTAGGGCAATGCAAACCATCAAATGGAGTTGGAGGGGGAAATAAAGTACTGTATTCTCCCACAGTGCCCACTTGTCTCTAAAGACATCAAGAACATTGATGGATACCGCTTACTCCATCTCCAAGGACACCTTGGCATGAAGTTAACTGTGGGAGAGGGTCAGACAGTTGGCAGACACACTCTACAGCCCGCTGCCTGGGCCTGTTCAAAGCCAACCTGGCCAGGCCCAGGAACAGACCTATGAGGAGGTCCTCCCATCTGCCCACACTCCTCCGCAGCAGGTGCCTAATGATCAAGAGTATAGGGCTGACATGCAACCAAAAATGCAAAAGATTTTTCAAATACTTTAAAAAGGGGTGCAATCACTCGCAACCAATAGTAATGATCCATTTACCAAAACTGATGAAAACAGATCACTTGGTCATTATCACTTTGCTGTTTGTGGAACCATGATGTGTATAAATTGGCTATGGATTTACCTACAGCACTTCAAAACAGAATACTTATTTATATGTTAAACACTTTGGAACATCCTTACATCATTAAAAAGTGCTAAATGAACACAAACTGTTTCTTTAATGAGAGCCATATAAGGCAGGAAAAAAAAGGAAGTGCTGGAGAAACTCAACAGACTGGCAGCATCTGTGGTGGAAAAAGTTAAGGTTTGGAGTCTGGTCTGACACTTTCTTTTTAAGTTATTTCTTTTATTCCTGTTAACCAGTAGGAGGAGGAGAGGAGTCAGTCAGCTCAGTTGGCTGGACGGCTGTTTTGCGAAGCAGGGTGGGTTCAATTCCCATACCAGCAGAGGAATGGACTCTCCTTCTCAATCTCTCCCTTTGCCTGAGGCCTGAACCATTACCAGTCCTCTCTGTCTCTCATGAAAGGGCAGCGGTGCGGTCTGGTAGGACGATGGCGACTTTACCTTGACTTTCATTATCCAGTTTCTCACTCACCTCATCAGGTTCTAAGGTACCCTCTTTTCTTTTGCTGGGATGTCCAGCTCCGGGCAGGAAGGCGCCCATGGGGATGTTTATGTTAGCCTGCAAAATGGATCAAACAGAACAAGCTGTTAGCGTCGCTAGAGACCGTCACCCCAAGACAGGGTAGTGACATATAGTGTGGTCACAGTGTCACTCACAGTATACAGCGGTATACCAACAGCTAAGATCAGAGGTGTTTTCATCTCACCTGGATGGATTTGACATTGGAGCTTCGCTTGGACATTGCGTAGAGGGAAGCTGGATTTCCCGCTGGAAACGAGAAAAGACAGTTAAACCCAAACATCCAGAATGTGGGAGCTGGAACGGCGGAGAGAGCTGGAACTAACTCTCTTGCTGTAACTTTGTTAGCGGCCCCACCAAAGATAATCTTTCAGTGTCCATTTCAATGTTGCCTGGATACCTCTTACAGGGTCATCGAACATAAACACTTGAGCCTCTGTTCGCTCAGGTCTGAGTGAATCTTTAATAGACACTGAAATTATATTCTCAGTGCTGAGAACATTTGAAAGAATGTCTTCCCTTCGTTAAATCGCTACAACAATGAACAAGAACCCATAACACATTTTTCTTTCAGCGGGAGTTCGCGTGTTGAATCTACAGTTATGTCAGAAATGTCAATGTAGACATGATTAAATAGAGAGGGATCAAATTCCATAGCAGTTCACATCCATCCTGTTATTCAAATCTCAGACAGATCTTAGGAATTTTATCCCTGGTATGGCATTTATTAAAAACATGGCACGTAATAAAGAAATCAACAATTCCAAATAACTTTCACTGAACAATGTTAACTTTCACTGAACTTCTCCTTCTGCAAAAGAGTCCTACTGGGACTCGAAACGTTAGCTCTGCCCCCTTTCTTTCTCCCTCTCCCCATAGATGTTGCAGAGATTTTCCAGCATTTTTCCGTGTGTGTTAATTCTTAAACGGTGTTAAATGTACGGATTGTACTGTGTTACGCGGAGCAGAGGGACCAGACTGGGTCATGCATGTGGTATAAGCAGGAGAATCATCTCCTAAGAATAAGCATTGGAGGCGAGAGTGGATAGCATGGGGATGAGTCACGGCCTCAAAGTTTCAAAGTTACGGTCCCCTGGCAGCTGGAAGAGCGGGACAGTGGGACTGAAAAGGTCAATGTCGCTTTCTTGGGCCAGCCACGTCACGGTCATAGGACTGGAGCTCGGTTCTGTAGCTCTGTCACGATGAGCGAGGTCCCCAGTCCAACTCCGAGAGGTTAAACCGGTCCAACAAACAAACACAAGTCCAGGACTAGCGACAAAGAGAAGCAGAAAGGGTCACCTTTCCAGAAGCAGCTCCCCAATTAGAACGGGCCTTCCGTCCATATCAGCTCACTTTCTCCTTGAGCTGTTTCAAGTGTCCCCTTTCACTCTGGCTCCCAACAAACGGGACAACAACTCAGCCGGAATGATCAAGTTGGCTTCTCAGACAAGCCTTTAAGTTCTCGGCCACTCCATTCGACAGTGGATCGCAGGAGAAACTTTGCCGAGCCTTACCTGGAATTGGGTGAACACCTTTGACACTGCTGCTGGCTTTTTTCTTTGCTGTTTTGTTCCCCCCAACCCAGGCTGGCGGGATGTTAGGGTGTTAACTTTTGCCGGTAGTGGGGTCGTTGAGGGTTGAAATGACTGAGATTTTTTTTTAGGCTAGACAGAAGTCGATCGAAGAAGACTGTGCATCAGTTTAGTTTGGAGGCAGATTATGAGAGGATTCCTGACGTGGCTGACAGTTGTTCCAACTAAAAATAGCGCCTGATAGGCAGAGGCTTCTTTTTCCATGTTAGTATTTACCCTTTTGAGTGGAAGGGTCAAATGTGTATGGGTCAAACCTCATTGAACCAGGTCTTATCAGGAAGCCATGTGTTGTCATTAGACCTCTTTTATTCAAACTGTCTTATTCGAGAAAGTATTTTTTTTACTGTTTTCACATCTTACTAAGAGTGCTCTGAACAATCACAGTAACCCAAACTGAAAGCAGGATTCTGATGTTTCAATATGAAGATAAAGCTGGATTTTCAGTTTGAAGTAATGGCGATGAATAAAGTGAATGGGGATAAAGGGATGGTGAGGATTGGTGATCCAGTCAATAAGAAATATAGGGTGAAACGTCAAACTATTTGCATGCTTCAGGCAACTATCAGCAGATATTGCAACACAGCAATGTTTTGATCTACGGTCAAGGTTATTTCTACCTGTGTTAAAGGTGAGTTGTAAAAGGGAACACACATGCTTAGTGCATTACGCCTATGGTAAACTATTCTCCCTTGACGCATCAACTCTACAAAGCTGACTATCAGCTGTTACATCGCATGGCTGTATATCAGCAGAGAATTTTGAGATCAGTTGTTTCTCGATAAGGCACAGAATATGCTCCTCTTGTTTGTGCACACCTTACCAGGGATATGGTCATTTCGATAGTTTCTTGTTCAGACTGATTCCTGTTCTCACTAACCACATAAACTCCTGGTCTGGCATTTCCTCAAATTTAAAAATCTCAATTTTGTTCAAATTTCTGCATGGCCTTATGCCATTTCACCTCTGTAACATCCTCTTGCTTTATAATGTTTTAAGTCCTCTGTGTTCCCTCAAACCTGGTCTCTTGTGTATCTTTTATCTTGTTACTGATGATTTTCGGCAGCTTGAGTGCCAAGCCTGGAACTTTCTTGTTAAACACTACAAAGTCTCTGACTCGCTCTGCTCCTTAATGCTGTCCTTAAACCTTAACTTATCAAAGAAGCTTTTAATCCCAAATGTATTGCCTTCTTTGGCTCAGTATCAGATTTCATTTGATAATGCCTCTGTAAAAGCGGTTTGGAATATTTTACGCCGGTAAAGGTAATATGAATGCAAGTTGCTGTCTTTATAGCATAACATTAAAAGATCTTTTTATAGAGAAACCACACCATAAACTAATCCTTAAAACACATGAA